ACACCAAGCCAAGAGTTGAGATCCCCTTACCGGTCATCTTTTTAAGAAAAAAAAAAAAAAGTGTTTCCTGGAGTTCTATGAGCTGCTCTAGCAAATTAACGAGGGGGGAAGAGTGTGGCAGCCCTGTTTCACAGCCTGTCAGTCAGGAGGAGAGGTAACAACCTACTAATGACTGTTGTCTGAAGTGGGGGCCAGTCTTGTGGGACTAAGCCCTCAACCTGTGCGATCTGATGCTGCTCCAGGTAGACAGGGTCTGAACTGAACTGAAACATAAGACACCCAACTGGTGTCTGCCAAAGAACTTCTTTTTTGGATGGGAACCCCTCACATCTGTGTTAGAAGAGTTGTGCTGACTAAGTCACCATGTGAGAATAGAGGGAGAAAAAAGAGTTCCTTTGTGCCTCTTACAATCACTCTCCATTTTTTTATATTATTCGATCATCATTAATTTCTCTCACTGCATCTTACAGTGTTCAGTGTACAGATCTTCCAATATGAGTATTCTTAAGTTTATCCCTAAGTATTTGATGTTTTTGATCCTACTGTAAATGGTATGTACTTCTGATGGTTTGCTAGCGCACAGAAATATAACCTTTTTTGTGTATTGTCCTCAGATCTGGTGACCCATTAAAAACTTGCTTATTAGTCCTACTAGCTTTTATTGATTCCTTGGGAATGTCTACATAAATAATTACGTCATCTCCAAACACAGTTTTATTTCTTCCCTTCCAGTCTGCCTACCTTTTCTTTTTGTTTACCTGTCTGCACTGGTGAGGACCTCCAGTACAGTGTGATGAATGGTGGGAACAGATGACCTCACCTGGTTCCCCACGTTAGGGGAGGCAGATGGTCTCACTGCCAGTATTACATTAGCTGTAGTTTTTTTTTATCTGGCTAAGGAATTTCCCTTCTACTCCTAGCTCACTGAGAGTCTTCAATCATAAATGCATGTTACATTTTGACAAATGCTGTAAAATGCAGAAGCTTGTCTACTGAGACAGTCATATATTTTCCCTCTCTTTATTCTATTAAAATGGTTGATTTTTAAAAGAAGCATCCTTGTATTCCTGGGATGAAATCCACTCTCACTCCACCTCTCCTACTGGCCTCCCTCAGCTATTCCTCCTCCTGCAGTGCCCCAGGCAGCCTTGCCTAGTTTAACACAGATACCTCAGAGTGTGTCCCCTGGAGTCCACTTTCCATACCTCTAAGTCATTCCCCCAGACAGACCACACTCCTGTGAGACAAAGGCCATCACATCACTACCCGCCATGGACTCATTCTCCCACACTGCTGCTAAATCCCTCAGTCCAGCTCTCAAAGCCCCTGAGGATAAGGATGTCCACACCATCCTCCCCAGCACCAGGGTCATGCCCCACAGGCAGGGCCCTTAGCCTTCCCCACGCCCATGCTCGTGCAGCATTATGCACACATGCTGCATTCCCTTGCTCCCCAGGACTCTTAAAGTCATGAAAGCCTAACCTGCCTCAGGCCCATACAACCCTGTGCACCAGACACATCACAGGTAGACAAGCCTGTCTGACACATAAGGAACCTCAACCCCAAGGATCTTCCCCACATTTACGCTGACTGACTTACCCCAGGCAACTCACCCATCCACTTCTCCTAATATCTCTGGGCTTCTCAGACATAAGAAATCCCAAATTCAGAAGAAAGTGACCACTCTCATACTGTGTGGGCCTTGCCCAGTCTCTTCAGGTGTTAAGCCAGAGCTGTTCCTAACCCCGGGGGCAAGGTCACAGAGCCTTCTGAGAATCTGAGAGAAGCCAGAGCCCCTGTCCTCAGACAAGAGCCCGCACAGAGAATATCTGGTCTAAGCCCCAGAAACTCAGAGGCCCCAGGGGTTTGAGGATCTTCAAAGAGCCTGGTCAAGGACAGGGCAGTCATGGGACAGTCAAAAGAGGCTGTGAGCCCACCCAAAGGCAGGCAGTAACTGTGACCACAGACCCCTCATGCCCGTCAACCAAAACCCTGGTGTTAGTAAGGAAGTCCCATGGTGGGAGGGCAGTGGACCAGGAAAAGCGGCAGGCAGCAGCCAAAGACAGACTCTGAAGAGAGCAGCCTGCATGAAGCACCATCGGCAAGGAGGTGTGTGCCACCTAGTGGTGGCAGCTCAGAACTGACAGAGCCTGAAGTCACCACATGCCCCCAAACTACGGCGATACCTCAGCATAAAGGCCAGACTCATACCCAGCAGGCACAGGCCAAAACACACTCCCAGCCACTGGACCGTCTGCTTCCAGGATGTCTGACATCAGCAAGAGCTGGCTGACAGCCCCAGGTCCGCTGATGGCTTTAGGGGAGTGGGTCCCTGAACCTGGATGCAAAGTCAACTATGTCCATGTGAAGTCAATTATGTCTATGTGTATTTCCCCTGCAGAGACCCCAAACTATGGCAGTGAGCCCCCACCTTTTCACTGCTTTCTATGTCTCTTCTGTCCATTTCCCAACACCATATTCAGTTTTACTAAGCATAGATGGGCTTTGCCAAGTCACGCTCCCTGCTCAAAAATTTCTGATAACTGCCCAAAACCTAACCACACACAAAAAAGGAAGCAAGCCAAAATCTTCATCATACTATTATAGGATTCAAGGTCATCCCAATACTCAAGTCCAGCCCTTAGGGATGCTGACCCAATGGGCCTGGGGTTCAGCTCAGGGATGTGCATGTCCACCAAATTCTCCAGGTAATTCTGATGATGGGCCATGTTTGATACCACAAGTCTGTGTTCCCACAGACTATTATATCACAAATGTAACCATTTAGGTTGAGCACACAAGTCACCCGAGGTGAAGACCTGACCCAAAATGGTACTCAAACACCTACCCTAGTGGTGTATAGGAAATGTGAGGGGCAGCGTCGAGGTTTCTGAGATGAAAACAGCTCCCTGAAGAGACCAGGCACGACAGATGATACAGCATGCGAAGGAAAACCCGCCCTATACAGAAGCATTTCCTATGGAGGAAATCTCAGGAGACTAAGGGGTCCAACCCAGACAGTGAGGATGGCTCCATCTGCCCTTCTAGAAATCAGCCTTCTGGCTGCTCAGAAAGGACAAAAACACCGGCACTCTAATTCATAAGGCACTTCACAAGTACATGATTTTGCTTAGTCTTCACAAGCACAGATGAGAAAAGCTTTGGACTCCCCTCTTCAATGATGAGAAAACTGGCCCAGAGCAGTACAGCAACTTGTAGGGGGTCTCACTAGTTGGTGTAAAAGGGGTACTAGAATCTAGCCTTTGCTATAGCATCCACTTTCCTCGACAAAGACACACAGAGCTCCACAAATGCTTGCTCCTCCCCTCCTGCTCTGCCCAACCCTAAGCAGGTGGTGGGCACAGGCAGCCCACATCTCTGCCAGCCCCCAGACCAACCCCTTCCTCTCCCTCCTCCAGGGCCTGACAACTAGGGAAGGCCGAGTGAATACCACACACATGAGCACATGGCATCCCAAGGACCAGCCTCCCTCGTGCCAGCCACACTCAGGGCAAGGCCCTCAGATGTACAAATGGGATCAAGAGGCTCAAGCAGCAGCTGTACCTTCCAATATGGTCATGGAACCCTTGTGCTATCTGGCCAGAGGCAGCAGTTAGCTTGTGCCACCTCTGCATGCCTAACTGATGCCAAATGCTTTGTGGCAGACACGGGGCACTTGAACACTCCAACAGGGCTGGTCTGATTAAGCCTGAGTGGGCTGATGTCTCTCATAAGAAAGAAGTCATGGAGGTTTTTCATCTGACCAGAGTGTCCCTGGGAGTAGGAGGGACACCTCTGGGTAGTTAACAAGCCCTGAGAACAGGGAGAAGCACAAAGCATTCAGGCCCTGCTGGGGGCAGCCCTACTTGAGTCTGGGTTCTGCAGGTGGAGTTCAAGAGGAAATAGCCTCGTCTGTTCTCTGTGACTTAGCAAGGGAAGAAGAAAATGAAGTGGCATTTTCAAGTGACAGAGAACTGAAGCCAATAATGCCAATCGGAAGGTAGTGGATTCTAAAACCAGCAGTCGGACAGTGTAATTACAGGACAGCTCTTTAAGAAAGAGTCTCAATTCTGGCCTAGTTTCCAAGAGCAACAGGAAAGACAACCAAGAAGCTAGTCTTAAAATCCCACAAGCAAATAAACAAAAGGCTCTTGAAACACCACAGGCCCTGTGCCCCCAGGCTCCAATGACTCCTCCAAAAGGATCAATCCTACACCTCCCTGAGACCTGGAGCACACAGGGTAACCAGGAAGGGAGGGGCAGCCAGACCAAACCTGCCAGGGGGCAGTCAGTCTGCAGGGGGTGTTAGTGAAGGGGGGATCGTCTGAAGGTGAAGCAGCAACTGAACTGATGGAGAAAGATGAGCAGTGGCACCCTAAAAGAACGGGGCAGTAGCACAGATGGGACTGGTGACGGGAACAATCCTGCCCTTCCTGTGTGTCAGAACACAATGCCCAGCAGCCAGGGGTGGCCACTGAGCAGCCCCGACCTGCTGCCCCCTCTGTATCCCCCACCCACTTGATGGCCATGAGAGTGGCACAGACTAGCTGAAGAGATTGCTATAGAGGCCTGGTTGGGACAATAATCCCCCACTGCAGTGATTTTTTTAACCCTGAAAACTCAGTTTATTTCAACTGGTTACAATCACCTAAAAAGGAACGATTTCCCCCAAAAGCAATTACTTCCTCAGTATATACAAAATAAGAGCCCTTTAACAAAACCCAACAATGCAAGGCAATCAGATACCTGCCACCACTTTGCTGTGAATATTCTGATTTTCAATGAAGATGTTATTAAGACTTCAGCAGGAAGAATCACTAGTTCCATTTCCCTCCCACTGGGAAATTACCTCATTAAACCTGAGCAGTGTGGGACAAAGCTTCCCCACCAACAGCCAACAGAGAAGCCTCCACCTGAGTAAGCAGGCAGGGACCATTCTGCCAAAGGCAAAGCTACTGCTCAGAGAATGTGGGGACAATGGGAGGCAGCAGCCCCTCCACCTACCTGATGTTCAAGCCCGTGCTCTGGTCCAGTCTCTCCCAGCTTTGCAGCTTCACCAGCAACCTCTGGAAAAACAATTAACGCAATGTCCCCCCATCACCTGCCAAATGATTATCACATAAAACTGACAATATTGATAATGACACTCAGTCTCCTGACCTTTTAGAAGCATCTGCCCTTATCTCTGAGCTAGGATGCACAAATGTTCCAAGTCTGCTTTGAAGCAGTCAGGTTATTTCCCAACTGCTAGAGTTACACCACATACTTCACGCCTCATTCCTTCCTGGTCCCATAAATTCAAGTATGAATCCCAGCAAGCTAAGAGGAACATGTGGGTGTAGGGTGAGAAAACAAACAGCCTCAGGATGGTCTTGCAGTAGTCTGTGCCCCAGGAAGTAGACCCTGCACCTGAACCACAAAGAACCTTCAGGATGCCAAGCCCTAGGGAAGATGGACTCAGTCCTAGAGACAAATTTTCCCCCAACCACATGATGGACTAGGACCAGAGGGCCCCATGAGAGGAGGGCAGCCTGCCCTAAAGGACAGGGAAGGTGGAAACTGCTCACAGGCTTGCTGGCCCTTCTACTTCTCATGCCTGCTCCTTGCTGCCCTGTGTCCCAAAAAGTTGTCTCCCAGCACTTTTAGAATTGAAGCAATGTGAGGGCAGGGACTACATTTCTTTGTTCTCCCCTCTTCACCTCCACTGGGGCCAAGCACAGCGCTGTTACCAACACTTTCACTAGTCAGCCATATACTTCCAGAGCCCCTCTTATGTGCCAGGCGTGTGCTTGGTCAATAATTTCACTACAGCCAATGCTTGGTGAACATTCACTCTGTGTCAGTCACTACTGTAAGCACTTCACATAAACTGACTCCTCATAACCCTGTGAGGCAGATGAAGAGATGGACAGGGAGATTAAGGAATTGGCCCACAGCAGGACTGCAAACCAGGCAGTGTGATTCTAGAGCCCCAAATCTTAAACAATTAAAAAAAAAAAGTCCAAAGAAAAAGTACTTAGCTTGGGAATTGTCTTTTCAGGCTAAGTTCCTACAAAAACCAGCATCTGAGAGGAGCCCCTGCCCATGACACCCAGCTGGCAGTGAGCTGCTTCCAGGGCTGGTCACAGAGGGGCTCTGAGGCCCGGATGAGACCTCAGCTGTACCGAACCTCTGAAAAGGACAGAGCATGCCATCCAAAGGGGTGAAATGCAGGAAGTGAAGCGCTGCACTGAGAAGGTGAATTAGCCTTTACATTCCACCAGACTGTGAGACAACAGGGGAATGGTGACAGGCATGTGGCAGGCATGCCAGAGAAGTGAGGCAACAGCAACCATAGAGAAGCGACATGCAGGACACAAAGGCCTGGGGCAGGAAACAGGAGGCCCAAATTCTTGTCCAAACTTGCTGTGCACTGGGCAAGAGAGGGAGCTTCTCTGAACTAGTTTCCTCCTCTGCCTACACGATTACTCTAGGATGCTTTTCAGCACCACCAAGTGCCACCTGTGTCCCAATAGCAAACACAGGGGGAAGAAACCTCACCCAGGTCTCCATTCACTCCTGTCCCTTACTGTATGCTGCTTCCTCTCTAACTCACCATCTGTACCAGCTCCCCTACTGGTACTGAACCAAACTACCACACACTCAGTGGCTTAAAAGGCCACAAATGTAATATCTTATAGTACTTTAGTCCAGAAATCCAAAATGGGTCTCACTGGACTACAGTTAAGGTGTCAGCAGGGCTGTGTTCCATCTGGAGGCTCTGGGGAGAATCCATTACCTTGCTCCTCTCAGCTTCTAGAGGTCACCTGCATTCCTTGGCTTGTGGGTCCCCTCTCCATCTTCAAAGCCAGCTACTGCTGGTAGAGTCCTCACATCATATCACTGTGACCTCCCCCCTACCTCTCTGCAACTACACAGCTCACCTGGATAAACCAGGATCCTCTCCCCATCATAGAGCAGCTGATTAGTAACTTCAATTGCCTTTGCCACCGTAAGGTCACATATTCACAGGTTCTTGGGATTAGGATGTGGACCTCTTTGAGGAGCCATTATTCTGCCTACCACACCCTCACAGCATTTTCCAGCTGTTATGTATGACTGTAACATCCAGGATCCTCCAGACAGGCCAGAGGATAACCCTACAGGCAACAGCTCACCATCTTAGGCCCTGCCACGGCTTGAATGTCCCCTCCAAAACTCATGTTAAAACACTGATTACCCCAATGTGGCAGTATTGAGAGGTGGGGCCTTCAAGAGGTAACTGGATCATTAGGGCTATGTCCTCATGAATGGATGAATCCATTCATGGATTAATGAGCTATCATGGGATGGAACTGATGCCTTTATAAGAAGAGGAAGGGTAGGGCCGGCCCGTGGCTCACTCGGGAGAGTGCGGTGCTGATAACACCAAGGCCACGGGTTCGGATCCTATATAGGGATAGCTGGTTGGCTCACTTGCTGAGCGTGGTGCTGACAACACCAAGGCAAGGGCTGAGATCCCCTTACCGGTCATCTTTTAAAAAATAAATAAATAAATAAATAAATAAGAAGAGGAAGGGAGACCTGAGCTAGCACATGAGCACATACCTGCTCTCTCACTATCTGATAACCTGTACCTCCTCAGGTCTCTACAGAGTCCCCACCAAGAAGAAGGCCCTCACCAGATAGTCCCTCAACCTGGGACTTCCCAGCCTCCAAAATTGTAGGAAATAAACCATTTTTCTTACAAATTACACAGTTTCAGATATTCTGTTATAAGCAACAGAAAATGGACTAAGACAGGTCCTCACCTCCTTCTCCAGTTCCAAACCAACCAGAGTTTCCTGCATCTTCTCCTGGCGCCCCAGCCTCCTCTGAAGCCCTTCCAGTTCCTCTCTGAGCAGCCCGTTGGTCTCTCTCATCTCCCTGGCAGGGCCAGAAATAGTCACTCTAATAGCCACACATTCTGGGGATGAATCCAGCCACCCAGCTATACCTGCCCTCATAGGCTATGCAGCAGGTTCCACACCCATGAACCCCAACTCTAGCTCAAGGAGACTCAACCCCCCCCTTACCCCCTCCTCACCGCAGGTGAGCATTCTCTTCCCGCAGCTGCTTCAGCTCCCGCTCCATTTTGGGGAGCTGCACCAGCTCAGACTTCATGTTCTTCACAATTGCAGCATCCTGCTCTTGCAGGGACAGCTTCTGCTCCAAATCCTGATGGAGGACAGGGACAGAGAGGAAAACAAGGGAAGGGTTATCAAGACCTGAAGTGACAAGAAGGTAATTAAATGCATATTACTAAGTGGAAGAAGGGAGCCTGAAAAATCTATATACTGTATGATTCCAACTATAGGACATCCTGGAAAAGGCACAATTATGGAGACAGTAAAAAGATCAGTGGTTGTCAGAGATTCAGGGGGGAAGGAGGAAGGGATGAAAAGGCAGAGCACAGAGGATTTTTAGGGCAGTGGAACCATTCTGTAGCATACTTTAACGGTGGATATATGTCCTTATACATTTGTCCAAACCCAAAGAACGTCCAACATTAAGAGTGAACACTAATGTAAACTACGGACTTTGGGTGATTATGATGTGTCAGTATAGGTTCACTGATTGTAACAAATGTACCATGCTGGTGGGGGATGTTGATAGTAGGGGAGGCTGTGCCTGTGTGGGGGCAGGGGTATTCACTTTGCTGTCCTGCCCTTGGAGAGTTCTCTGGGGACAGAAACCTATCGCCGTCTGGCCCAAAGACATTCAGCAGTAACACAACCCACTCTTCCTGTGTAATCTGTTCTGCTGCTTTAGCAGCATACATGTAACAACTGAGTCTTTCCAGTAGTGAGGACAGACTTCCTCTTAGAGTATCTAGTCCTTCTGGGACTAGATGAGAAATAGCCAGCACCCACTAGTGACAAGTCACCAAACAGACTAAGAGTAAGAAACCAGGACCAAGTAAGTCAGTCAAACAAGAACGGAGCTCATCTCTGTGCCACATGCCAAGTCAAGCAGTGGGGACAGAATGATGCAAGCCACGCAGGCAATCAAATACTGAGAGGTGGGCCAAGGGCTGAAGAGGGAAAAAGGGGGGCCAAAGAAAACATGATCAGGAAGGTGCAGAGGAGTGGTTGGGTGGGGGTGCCAGGTAGCTCTGCAGCAAGAAGAGCAGGAGCAAAGCCCAGAGGCAAGAGCACAAGAGAGGTCTGAGAGCCCACCCAGGGGAGCACAGCAGGGGCAGTGAGGAGCCAGACTGTACAGGCCTGGCAAGGATTTAGCAGTCACTCTGAAGGCAGTGGGAAGCCATCAAAAGGAACTCAAGTCACCATCTCTGACAGTGTCCTCTGCAGTGACATGGCACAGCCTGACCTTTAGTCAGACGAACCTGGCTTTGAGACCCACCTCAGTCACGCATGGGCTATGTGGCTTTAGCGGAGTTTTCAACTCTAAATCTATTTGATATCATCTTCAAAGCACCTGTCAATAACTGAAGTTATCACATTTACTTCTTTCTTCACATGTTTGTAGTTAGGCTTCCTGCACTAGAATGTGAGCCCCCCAGGAGCAGAAAAGTCTGTCCCATTCCCTGTGGCATTCCCGGCACCCAACACAGTGTCTGGCACCCGGAGGAGACAATCTGCCAATGTCACAGGCAGCTCACTGTCCGTAAATGCCACCAAGCACACCCCAGCTCAGAAAGACCTGCGTGTGGCAGGAGGGCCAAAACCACCACTGCAACGTCTGTAAGACACACCCAGGGACTGAAGCAGAGTGACTCACCTTGATCTTCTGCTCATGGTCTGCTCTCATGTCTTGGCTGGCCTGAAGTTCCTGAATTTTTTTATTTGCTTCCTGCCATTTTCTATTAAAAGAAGAATATATCATGTGCAAAAACAGGAATGTGGTGAGGCCAACAGTTCTCCTCAGCCCAAGACCTCCCCAGCACAGACCCACAGACACACACACTCCCATACAGGGTACCCCCAAGATCCTGGACTCCAGCCCCAGCTGGCTGGCTCTGAGGCCTCAGTCTCATCTGGACAGGTCCTCTCCAACTGTAGCACTCTACAATCCTCCCCACTCCCCACAGCTGCTCAAACCTGCAGCATCCCCCAGCCCTGGTGCAGCTTCAGCAAGGTGCCCACACAGGACTGACCTCTCCTCTCCACCAAGGAGCTAGACTCTCCTAAGACAACATCTGCTAAGGGAAAGATCAAACTGTTCAGGAAAACATCCAAAGTCTCCTGCCCGCACCTCCAGTCAAGCATACTCACTTTTCCATGCCTCCCTTAGCATGTTCTCTTTGCCTGGACTGTCCCTTCCCAGCCACAGCCCACTGTCCCCACGGCAGGTCCCACATGTCCTTTAAAATCTAGTGACACTTCTCCGAAGCCCTCTCCAAGAAGGCTTGACTCTCCCTGGAGAGGGAAGAAGCTGCTTCCCCTGTTTTTGCTCCAGGACATTTAAGATGTGCTCTATTCTAACACTTGCATCCTGGCTTCAGAGGCCTCAGTGTCCCTCCTGACAGTCTGGATGAGGACAGTGACCAGCCACCGGGCTCACCAGGCTGAGGCGATTCCCTCCCCCCCCCCCCCCCC